AAAGTAATACAAGTACAGGTTATTACAACTGATTTCCATCCCTTTGTATTAAGCATCATTATGCTTAATGTTGATCAGTGTACTAATCTGTTTGTTTGGGGTTTTCCCCTATTTTCATTATTATTTGATCATATGATTATTATTATTTCAGACAAGAAATTCCCAAGTAGCTCAGTGCACCTGGGCACCTTACTGGCTTCAGAGGCTTTTTTTTTTTTTTAATATCTCAGAGTTCCCCTGACCTTAGATGGATTCGATCCAAGTTCTACCCCAGGTGTTTCTAAGTACCTTGCTAAAATCAGGTGTTCTGCTTATCCATTGTGCAGCTCAGACGAGAATCAGCCCTCATCTTTATCAGCAGCTGAGTTTGAGACGCTTGCTTCTGCATCTAAAACAGCTGGGCCAGTAGTTGAGCATCTGCTTTCATTTTCCCCTGGTAAATAATGCAGTGAATGATGACAGGACTTGACAGGGCTTCATGGTAAGATTGAAGCTCCTTGAGAAAATCCTCTGGGCTTTTTGAATTGAATGAAAAAATAATCTAAAGCAGTATGAAACAGGTCCAAAGATCCATTTTTTTCTTTTTTTTTTTGGTATGGAATAACAAGCATTAAAAAGCTGCTTGGGAAGGATAGAAGTGGATTTAAAAGAGATGTGAGAATACCACAGAGTCAGGGATGCAGAGATATAAAGGATAACTTGGAAAACCACAAATGGTTTTGGAAGAATAAGCTTTGGGAAGGATGGAGAAGTGTTTCCTCCAGAAGTGCTCGCTTGCACTTCAGGTGCTGCTGTACATCCTGAAGTGAGATTTAGCTCCAGACAGAAATTCCTTACAAGTGCTTAGCTAAGAGATGGAAACACAAATGGGAAAGATGCGGCTGCAGCAGCCTCTGCACAGCAGATGCAGGTTTGGTAATAGATGCTGCTGCACTGGGGACGGGTCAGCCCATAGATTTTTCCATGAAAAGTGTCTACATAGAGTGGGGAAAGAACTGGGGCCACCAGAAGTCAGGATGTGACCAGGCTGCACATAATCCAGACACGACCCCAACCATAAATGGTTCATAAACTTTTAATTTCTAGTAACAAGAGGACAAGAGAATGTGACAGCAGGATGTCGCAGAAGCACAGCGAGCACAATGAGGACAGGAGAAAGGTGCAAGGAAGTCTCTTGATGCCTTCAAGACCCTTCCACTGTTGTATTGGTTTTTTTTTTAATTACCTCAAGACAAGGAGAGACTGCCTCTTTAGAAATTCTTCTGCAGCCTCAGAGCCTGACACGAGGACTTGCCAGTGATGACAGATCGTGGACCCATCAGGTACCGCCCCGACGGCGATGCGGGTTGGCGCAGCCCTGCTGCGGGTGACTAATTAGCAGCACCAACGTGTTTCTACCATATCTGCAGATGCTCGGCTGTTATTCCTTGGCTTCTTGGCAGCATCTGAGCCATGGGGAGGGGGGATTGCAGCTGCTGCCATGCTGACGGGGAAGGGTGTCCCAGCGCCAACCACTCCCTTGCACAAAGCCAGCTCTGTCCCTGGCGCAGATCCGCTCCTCCTGAGTCGCTGCTGGGGACAAAGACAGGCACGCCTCCAATAAAATGGACGGTAAAGCCTTCTTCGGCATCAGGAGGAAGGAAAGCCATTTGCAGGCCTCGAGAAAAGGGCGAGTTCCTGGCGCACATGCAGCCGCGCTCGCGTTAACGCGTTTCTTCGGGGATGCGGGAGTCTGCCTTTCCTCTGGCACCAGCCGCTAAACTCCGTGTTAGCTCCGGGCAACGCTCCAGTGCTTTACAGTCTGTTGGCATCAAAACCCGAGCTCTCCGCCAGCTGCCCTCCCTTGTGCCAAGGAAAAGATTTACAGAGTCTGCAACCATCCACTCAGCTCGGCCCAGGGCTTTATTTTAAGGCCAGATGCCCAACAGGTACATATTGGCAGAAATCTATGGTGAAAGCGGGAATAAAGTGCCACGGTAAAGTAGTGTAATGCTCCTGGGAAGAGGCGAAAAGGTGGGATATTGCCCTCCTGAGGCTTTTGTACAGCCAGTCAGCCCCGAGGAAAATCAAGCAAAAAAGGGGTTCTCTGGTCTGCTCCTGGCAGCATGGACAACGCTGGGTTCTGTGGGTCAGGAAACATTTTCTTCGTTTTTGGCCATAATACCTCTGTGCTAGGGTTTGTTTGAGACCACCTGGAAGCATCCTATTCTCCAGCTTCTGCACCAGCACAAGCAGATGATTTATAGAGCTTTAAACTTTCCAGACACCTGCAATGACATTCTCAAGGGTTGTCCACTGTCGTGGAGGGTTCCTGTCCCTTCCCCACCTCACTGTGGCTGTCGAAGGCAACCCTGGTGCTGGAGGGGAAGCAAGGAGCCTTGGGGGGATTCCAATCTAGGCTACCTCAACCTCATCCACTTGGCTTCTCTGGATCCATCAGTGTCAAGGTGGCAGAGCAACGTCCCACCGGGGAATGACCCTTCACTTCCCCAGCTCCAAGCTTTCGAAGAAGGGCTGTGACAAATGTTCCCAAAGAGGTTTAACTCTTGGGTTTACAGACCTGAGCTTGCCCCAGCCACAAGCTTGTGTGGCCAGCCTGGTTCACAAGCAGAAGCATCACCCTCCTGTGACTAAGATGGAATTATGGCTTTTGAAACCACAGGTTATTAGGCATCATCATGTGCTGGGGTAAGCAATTATTTCTTAGAGAGCTGAGCTTGTGAAAGAGACAGTCATCCTTGGGCTGCACCAGCAAGTTTGCTGCCTGAGACCTGTGGCTGGGGTGGACAGGAGGTCTGCAGGAGAAGCTGAGGAGAACCACATTCCTGCAGACTTTCAGAAGTATTTTGTTTGCTCCTTTTAGAGCTGTTATTCCCCAAACCAGACCCTGTGGCTCACAGAATGAGGCGAACACCAGTGGCGTTGTCTTTAAACACGTTTTCAGTTACATGAAAGAGCTCTGGAATGTCCCCTCCTAAGGTCGGTGGCACTGGGAGGTCCTCAGGTGGGTGCACCTACTCCTTCGGCTGTTTGTCCTACTGTAGTTTAACTGTAACTACAACAAGAAAGGGGTGAAATTTTGCCAAGAGATTTCTTAAACACTCTCACCTTGGGCAGGACAAGTTACAGATGAAACAGAAAGACCAGAGAGACACCTCGTGGCCAAGGATACCCCCTTTTGCAAGTCTCCCCGTCGGAGCTGAGCTCTCAACAGGAAAAAAAGATAGAGAGAAAAAAAAAAACAGAGTAATTCTCAACCAGGCAATGCAGCATCTGCCTCTTGGTCATGGTCAGACACAGGGATGGTTTTAATTGTCAGGGTGGGAGATATCGCCATCGATACGAGCTGAGGCTGGCTGCCCTCGGGAACGGCATCTGTTGAGCTGACGAATCACAGAATGGTTGGAATTGGAAGGGGCCTGGTTAAAGCAGGATTGCCCAGAGCCCATCGCACAGGAATGTATCCAGGTGGTTTTAGGTCTCCAGAGCAGGAGATTCCACACCCTCTCTGGGCAGCCTGGGCCAGGGCTACGGCACCCGCACAGGAAAGAAGTCTCTCCTCATATTTAGTTAAAACTCCCCCTGTTCCAGCTTGTGCCCATTGCCTCTCATCCTGTGACTGGGCACCACTTGAAAGAGTCTGGCTCCATCCTCCCTGCACCCCCCCTTTAGATATTTACAGGCATTGGTAAGGTGTCTCAGCCTTCTCTTCCCCAGGCTAAACAGTCCCAGCTCTCTCAACCTTTCCTTGTAAGAGAGATGCTCCAGTCCCCCAATCATCTTTGTTGCCCTTGGCTGGGCTCCTGCCAGTAGTTCCCTGTCTCTTTGGAACTGGGGAGCCCACAGCTTGATGATTGCGGAACACAAGCTCTTTATTTGCCAGGGAGACAAATCAAAGTAGCAGACCTTAGTGGCCGTAGCCCGAAGGGTTTAGTGGCTTCTCGGGGAGGGAGGGCTGCAGGAATAGAACTCTAGAATGGCTTCAATTGGAAGGCATCTTCAAGACCACCCCATTCCATCCCGCTGCCCTGGGCAGGGACCCCTCCCACCAGAGCAGGTTGCTCCAAGCCCCGTCCAACATGGTCTTTAGTACCTCGGCCTGCTTGTTGTGGCAGCAGGGCTGGAAAGCTGACCTATGTTTAAAGTGTAGAAAAATTAAATTCAAGCTGGGGGGATGTGCAAGTCTCAGGACCTGTCAGCCCATTGGGGGTTGGTGTCTGTGGCGTTGGGGGGCTGAGGGAGGGAGACTCGCCTTCATCTACGTGTGGAGTTCAGATGGATGGAGCACCAAAACTTGGCCCCAACAGCTTTCAGCCACCGAGCTGACAGGGTTCAGGTGGTTGCATTGATTATTTATTTATTTATCTATTCCAGGAGTTTAGAGGCACAGGGGTAGGCAGCTGCTGGGGTTTATCTCCCATTCATCCCAGCTCTCGGGGAGCCCCACAGGGCAGTGGCTGGATGAAGCATAGAGGAAG